CTGGCTATGATCTGATGGGTCTGGGAGCATCCTTGGCCCTTCACACTAGCACATCTGCCTCCCTAGCAAGACCCACGTGAAGGGCATGAAGGCCAGGGTTTGCTCAGTGTGGTCACTACAAAGACATGATGCTGGGGTTGGGGAGAGAGCTGCAGGTTCAGGGGTTATGGGGTTGCAAGGGACTTACCTCCATTCATTATCTCAAGTAGATCGTGAGGATGGAAGGCGGGGGCACCGTCTGGTAGCGGGAAGGAACCGCCAGGCCGTAAAAGGACCAGACGGTGGAAAAAGACACTGAAAAAGCCAAAAGAGTGAAAAGAAATGAATGATACTCGGGCCCTCTCCCTCAGGGCGCACAGGGTCTCCCATCTCTGCCCCTCTGCCCACTGCTGCCTGTCTCCTCCCCGCTCACATGGCCAGCTCCGCTGCCAGGCCCCCAGCCCTGGGTTTAGCTGGACTCCGTCCAGTCTTGCCCGGGCCTGGCCGAGTTTGCACAAAGCTGAGTCTCCAGCCCCGCCTTCTTTCGGACCGGCTCCACGCCCACACCCCCGAAGTCCCGGGAGAGAATCTGATTGGCCCAGCCTGGCCAAGGCGGCCAATAAACCTCGGCGGAGAGGCAGTCACGTGTCACAAGGTCAGGCACGGTGGGCAGGGTCCCAGGGCCGGATGCGTGGTGTACGGTGTGCTGGCCCCACGTGCTGCCCGTGCTCTCTTCCCGAGGGGCCGGGGGCAGCCAGGCCTCAGTAATCCCCGCCCGCTGCGCACCGCGCTGGTCTGACTTGAGTCTCCTTAATCGAGGCCGTTATTCCCCACTGGGCCATCTACAGCCAGAGCTCAGCTTACTGCTTGCCCTCCCACGTGGGTTCCTGCGGACCCTGGAGACGGTGACGGTCTTGGCTGCCTTGACCTCACTAAAGCCTGGTGTTTGGGGCCAGCTGCTCCAAACCTGCTGACCACAGTGGCCCAAGCTCGAGGTTCGTACTAGGAGGGCTGCCTGCGGCTGGGCGCCCAGTCCCTCAGCCCAGGCCCTGGATGGTACAGACCCCGACTGTCGGGGCGGAGGAGTTCCCGCGGCCCGCTACGGGTAAGCAGCTGCCTCCTGACCATGCTTGGTGGCCCCAGGATAAGGCCCCCTGAGCTGGGCTGTCCCAGCCCAGCAGGTGCATCCTAAAGCCTCCAGTTCAGGAGGGGAAATGGCATCCAGGGTGGGGAGGCAGTAGCAGGTCCCTTAGCCCTGACAAGCCGAGGCAGTTTCTTCAAGGACCATCTCAGAGACAGCCAGGGTTAGTGGTGAGAACCAGCAGTAGGCCTGGCTCAGGAGGCCCCTGCCACAGGGGACAGGCCTGGGAGAGGGGGTGCCGTGGGGACTTGTATCTATTAATTTAAGAAGTAACCGTTGAGCTTGGTGCCTCTGAAGCTCTTCATCTTTGTCAAGGGAAATAGTTGGGGGTAGGCTAGGGCCGCAGTGTGCTGGGCGAGGTGGTGGAGGTGTCCAGGCCAGTGTTCTGGACCCCAGTTTCTCTGGAGAAATCACCTGGGTGGGTCTCAAAGAACGCCTGGCCAAGGAATCCCCTGGTGCTAAATCCAAGAGCGTGGTTCTCCTCAGTGGTGCTGAACACCATCGCTGGGCTCAGAGGAGGCGAGTAAAACTGTTTCCTCAGCGAACTGCTGGTTACTCAGGTGCATTTAATTTAAGAAGATTCACAAAGCCTTAGGCTTATGTGTGCCCTTCTGTATAAATGTTATACCTCAGTAAGAAGTTAAAGAAAAAGGGCAAAGAAGTTGCTGCCTGGGCCTTAATTAGATCCGAACATCTGTGGTGGGACCTGGGTAGTGGTGTTTTTTGGAAAAAGCTTCCCGGGTGATTCTAAAATGCAGTCACGGGTTAGAACTGCTGGTTTAACCCTGAATTTGGTGTCTCCATTCAGTACATTCTGGTATGCTTCTCCCCAGGCAGAAATTTAACTCGGAAGGTCCCCTAGGAGGGCCTCCAGTCACTGTTAAGATTTGGCCAGCCGGCTGAGTCCCCCCAACCCTTGCCAACCTTGGTGTCCATCAGGACCCGAGCCCAGACATTCCAGTGAAGTCTGGCTGGAGCAGGGAAGGGTAGGGGTGTGGAGGGAAGAGGTGTCAGGAGGGGCAGAGAGGGAAGAGGCCACCTGAATCTAGGAGGTAGAGTTGGGGGGCAGTCGGGGTGGCCTCAGGCATTCAGGAGATGTCAGTCTTGCTCAGCCATCCGTCCTTTGCCCTGAAGATGTGTGTGAAGCTGACGGACCAGGCCAGAGTCTCTCACTCCCCAGAGGAGAGCTGGGGGTTTGGCAGTCACATGGCAGGGAGGAGGGGATCAGAGAGGGACTCTGGCCCCTGACTTGGGGGTGCAGGGCGCAGGGCAGCCCCAGGGCAAATAAAATGGCTTCAGGCCTGGTGAGGTGTAACCAAGCGAAGAGAGGCTTGCAGGGGCTGGCCCTAGCTGTGCCCGGCAGGTCACTGGGTCATCAGTTCCTGGAGGGTGGGACTCATAGGCCAGGCCCACCCCCAGGGGGACTGTCTTCCTGCCGCTGCAGGAGTTGCAGCCAGAGTCGAGGTCCCCTTGCGATGGCTCTGTGCTGGTGCTGGCTACAGCTGGTCTGTGGTGAGAGGGACTCTTGAGCCGCCCCTACCCCCCACCTAGATGGCTATGTCAATTTGTCCAGGTCACTGGCTTCTGGCTTGCTTCCATATGTGCTTCCTCACTGAGCCCTCCTGGGCACACTCCAGTGCCTCATGGCACAATGAGGCTGCAGGGCACCGGAACTGGCTCTACGGGAGGCATCCTCTCCTTGGTTGGATGCCTTCCCAACCCCAGGGTGTGTTGGGGGCTTGCAGTGACTCTCCACCCTTTCCCTTCGCCACCCCCACCAGTCCTGGGACCTGAGAGCTTTGGGTCCTTCTTCTCTGTGAGGGTCCCAGGCAGGTCTGAGCCCCTCCCTGCTCTGCTCTTGCTCAGTGTGGGGCATGGGTGTTGTGCCAGAGGGGAGAGGATGCAGATGGGACCGTGGAGGAGGCAGGTCCCCAGGGTGCAGGGTCTCCAGCTCCTCCCACTAGGAGGTGGATGCTGCTTCCTCTCTCGAGCTTGAGCCAGGTGACCTTGGAAATTCCTGCTGCCATCCTGGAATGTTCCCTTGTCAGGCCAGCTCCGAGACATGAGATGCCAGGCTGCCCAGAGAGGCCCCGTGACAGAAGACGGAGCCCCAGGGAAGCACCTGCTGACCACAGGCACCCAAGGCAGACAATCCCACCCAGGTGAGCCTTGGGGCGAATACAGATGGTTATTCAGTCGCTCGGTTGTGTCTGACTCTTTGAGGCCCCATGAACTGTAGCACCCCCTAGCTCCTCTGTCCTTGGGGTTCTCCAGGCAAGAATATTGGAGTGGGTTGCCCCTTCCTTCTCCAGGGGACACAGAAACACAGGTGCAATAAAAACACCAGCCCGATGCTCCCAGCAGCCCATGTGATATAAATGGTGGCTGATTAAAGACACTTGAGTTTGGGGTACACAGGTGACACCATTGTTATCTGTTCAGCATCTCATCCTTTGGAGGAACCAACCTGCCCCTCCAGGTGGTCCCCAGCACCCCCATCCCACCCTCCCCCTCCTGTTGCCATCCCAGGTTGACTCTGCCCCAGTCTTCCAGAAATCTGCCTCTGAGGGTGAAGGTTTTCAGAGCTTGATCATCTCATGGACTTGCCCTTAAAAACCCAGATTTCCTCATTCTAGTCACTCAGCTTCTTTACAGATCACCTGCCAAGCACTGATCCCCTCCACACTCTCTCTCCCCCTCCTGTTAATTAGTTTCTCCTGTTTCTACCAAGGAACCATGATTGACAAACGTTGCCAGGAGGGAGGAAGTGGTGGGGCATGCTCCCAGAGCCAGGGGATGCGGGGCAGGTTCTCACCTGAGAAGGGAGAGTACCAAAGTCCTGGGGTCTGTGGCCCCATCCCTGAGAATTGAATCGCTGCTCCTCTCTGCTGTGGGGGGTCTGAGACCAAGGACGCGGGGCAGAGGCTGCACGGCCGCCCCTGATAGCGGAGAGGGGCGTCCTCACCTGGCCAGGGGACCCCGCATGAGACTGGGTGGTCACTCTGCTCTGAGACTCTGTGCCAGTTCACATGGGCTGAAATCCTGGAAAACCAAACCCAGGCCCGAGCCTGAAGGCACTGAACGTGGTGCTGGCTGCATTTGCAGTCACTCCAACAGCAGTGGGGTCTTTGTTGAAAAAGGCCAGAAGTGGAGGTTTGAAAGTCAGCATCTGGGCGGCCCCCACCCTGGGGGGAGCAGCCCCCACATGGGTGGAAGGGCAGGGATTCCCACACCCCACCCCGCCCACCTCACCTCTCTTCCTTGCACCTGTGAGCAGCAGTGGGCAGAGAGCATGGAGGGGGACGTGGAGAAGTTGTGAGTTTTCATCATACAAATTCTGGGGGATGTTTGCAGATCCTCAGCCAAGAACCTGCTCTCTGGACAGTGGGCTGACCCTGACCTGCTTAGCACCCTGGGGAACACCAGGGAAACCCAGAACCCTGTAGGCTAGACCACTGAATGCTCTCCACCTGTGGGGCAGAGAGCCCCTTGTCAGAACTGACCCCAGACCCCTGCCCCCCAAACTCCCTATGGACCCTGGCTTTACCACCTGAGTATGAGTCTCTTTTTCACCTGGACAGAGAGTCCTTGGCCCCCTCAGCCCTGCCCCACACCTGCACTTCCTGGGCCTTTGCTGCCGACCTCCTGGAAGGGGGTCAGCCTGGTGACTCCGGGTGCCCAGACCTCTGTCCTGTCCAGGGCTAGTGGGTCGGGCCACAGGGCTGGTGTGCACGGGGGCAGGGCCGGTCCCATGGGTGGCAGTGGCCCCTCCTCCGCCCCTTACTCATTAGCCAGGCTGTACGGTTACCCTGGCCGGCTGGGTGAGGCTGGCTGAGAAGGTGCTCAGGCGTGCAGGGTAGCTGGGTGGCCTAGGCTTGGAATGGACAGCCCCCAGGACACGGTCCCCCCAGGCCAAAGGAGCCGCTGCCCTGCCCTCCGCAGGCTGGTCCCTGTTGGCTTTGGAGCTGAGGCACGGACACTCTTCATTCTTTCTGGACCCCTGGTAAGGAGGTGGGGGTAAGGGGCTGATGAGGCGGGGGGCAGGGGCTGCTCGAGGCCTTCCCCAGAAATCACCCACAGTGACGGTGTCCAGGTGGCACCAGGGGCCACCACCCAGAGCCTGGCGGGGTCTGACCTCTCTCAGCGGCGGGCAGCCCCCTCCCCGCCGCCATCAGAGGGACCAGGTTTGTCCTCCTTCAGGAACCCACGGGGAGGCTGGCTGAAAGGCCCGAGAGGCCAAGGGGAGCCCAGGGGTGCCTGCACGGGCGTTTGCATTGGAAGAGGGGCCTTTGCCCATTTATTTTCAAAGGGAAAATGGCTTCAGGTACATTTTTTTTCTGACTGTAAAGACTACTAAATATGTGCTCTTTGTAAGAGTTTGGACAACAGTAAAAGAAGACACTCCGTTCCAATCCCACCACGTGGACAGAGGCTTCCTAGGGTTTTGGTGTCTTTACTCCTCTGTGTTTGCATGCGGCCGGACGAGGTGGTTACAGTGACATCACCAGCTGTACCCACTCCAGCGCCCCTGCAGGGGAACCAGAGCTCGGGTTGATGCTGTTGCCCCGTCGGGAGGGGGCAGGACCCGGGCCTTCTGCCACCCAGACTCGGCCACACACTCACTCCTCCGCTGTGGGTGACTCGCCCTGCGGCCCAGAGGGGCTTCTCGGGGGTCAGAGCCTGGAGAGCCTCTTGCCAGGAGCTGGGCTGTGAGCAGGGCCCTTGACCCCGGCCCCGGCGTTCAGTTCCTCTTCCAGATGCTGAACTTCATGGTCTATGTCGTGAGCACGGTGTTCTGCGGACACCTGGGCACAGTGGAGCTGGCAGCAGTCACCCTCTCAGTGGCCGTGAGTACAGCCAGGACCTTCTCCCCTGGGCTCCTGGGAGAAGACACGGCCTGAGGGCACAGCTGGACCTCCGGCCTCGCCCGAGCACACCCCACGCACGGGCCCGGCCAGGAGGGGTCTCCCACTGCCGGGCAGCCCCCCAGGTGCAGGGTTCCCCTCGGTCTCCTGAAAGCCTGCGTTCTCTCCTGTGTGTGGCTCCAGTTTGTCAATGTCTGTGGAGTTTCCATCGGGTTTGGCTTGTCTTCAGCCTGTGACACCTTGATGTCCCAGGTAGGTGGGCCCCTGGGAACCAGCAGGGCTGGAGCCAGTCCCACAGCTGCTGCAGAAAGGGCAGGGCTGGGCACCCACCCAAGACCCTGCAGTGGCCCCTGCATCTGGGAACTTGTCAGGCCTTTGGGGGGCAGCTGTTCCCGTACACCCACCCTCAGGGACCACGTGCTCTAGGGACCAGACCCTCCCCTTGCCAGGGTGGCCAGGTGAGAGAGCTCTGGAATGAAAGACAGTCCTCTGACCTTGAGTCCTCTGACTTTGACCTTGAATCCTCTGGCCCTGTGTGCTGAGGGCACACAGGGGGCCTGCTGCCCTTGGGAGGCCCACCACCAGGAGGGGCTCAGCTCTGGGGGCCTGGGGCTCACGGTGGGCCTGGCTTCTGCTCACTCCCCAGGGAGACTTGCACGCGCTGGTGCTTCAGGGATGGTGGGGGGTGGGTAGTGCCTTGCCCATCAGGAGTCATCGGAGTACTGGGCACCGTGGGTGGACAGGGGCTGGAGCTCTGCAAAAGGTTGCTGTGGTCACTCTGAGCCGCTGAGCCCCTCAGAGGAAGCCCCGGGCAGGGATTTGGGGGAGTGGTGGAGGGCTGCCCAGCGCACCCACCGCCCCCCCCCAGCCGGCGAGAGGGCAGGCGCGGGGCGGGCGTAACCCCTGTGTTCTAGAGCTTCGGCAGCCCCAACAAGAAGCACGTGGGCGTCATCCTGCAGCGGGGCGTGCTGGTGCTGCTGCTTTGCTGTCTGCCCTGCTGGGCGCTCTTCCTCAACACCCAGCTCATCCTGCTGCTCTGCAGGCAGGACCCGGCCGTGTCCAGGTGTGCTGGGGCGGGCAGGGGCGGGGCATCCCGGGAGGCCTACCCCGCCCATGCTGCTCTCCAGCCATCCCGCGGCCACCTGGTCTGGGGACTCTCCCCCACAGCATACTGCTCCAGCTGTGGCCAGCAGGGGGCAGACTACAGCCCATTTTAATTGAGAAAAGGCATTTGTATGGGGTTTGTTTGCATCTGGTCCCAGCGTGGGCCCGAGCCCTGCAAAGGCCTCGGAAGCAGTGACATGCACACCCCACATCGCAAACAGTGGGAACAGGACCGAGCCCCATTTCTGAAGAATTACACACTGTGTTGTTAGTGTAGGATATATTTCCTCATAGGAATACCTCGCTCGTTTCCTGTTATGTGCACTTCATGTAGTTAATTCTTAACATGATGGAACCTTGTTTTCCCCTCTTACAAACCACACATCACTCCAAATTGAAGTTCCCCAGCCCTGAGACCCCGTGTTTGGGTCCTTTGGTTCTTGGGCCCTGCCTTCTGGCACCCTACCCCCACCGAGGTTCCAGGTGTCTCTGGGGGTCTTGTTTCCAAGGTGAAGTCTGCCAAACCTTTCCCCACCCCCAGGGTATAGGCTGCTTGGCTCAGAGCCTGGTTCTTTCTCCTGCAGGCTGGCCCAGGAGTATGTGCAGGTCTACATCCCAGGCCTGCTGGTGAGTTGTCTGTGGAGCTTGGATCCTGACCCCCTACTAGTCTGGAGCCCCTCAGCCCTCATGCTGGTAGCCAGAGGGGCTGGAGAAAACTTCTGATTGCGGTTGGTGGTGGTGCATATTGAACTTTTAAAAAGTAGTGCAACACCTTTTTCTGGTTAGAAAATCATTTACAAGAGAGATTCTGGAAAGCCTGAGGAAGAAAAATTTCAAATCTTCCATTATCCTACTACCCAGAGAAAAGACAGGTTAATCTCTCTCTCCAGGGCTATTTCTCTTCATGGGTGTGTGTGTTATCAAACATAGAGACACACCTGTAGTGTGAAATGGGGCCAGTGTGTGTATGTTGTTTTGTAATCCACTTTTTCCCTTTCAAATATATCATTAGTCAGTCTCTAGATATGCTCAAATCACTGTCCACAGTACCCATTTCAAAGGCCTCACAGTATCCCCCCTTTGCCATAACTTATTAACCAGTCCCCATGTGTTGTGTATTTAGGTTGTTTGCAGTGGTCACTCTTATAAATTAGGTTGTGATTAACATTTTTATAGAAAAATCTTTGTGAATGTCTGTAATGATGCCTTATTGGAATTGGAGTTGCTCTGTCAATGGCTTTTGATACTGGTTTTTATCAATTCTACCCTCAAGAACAATAGTCTCATCAGCACAGAGTATTATTAAAATGTTTTCTCCAATTAGAAATAGGTTATTTTATTTTATTTTTTAGAAATAGGTTATTTTAACATGCACTTTATTGCAAATGAATTTGAGTGTTTTTTCATATCTTTGATCATTTTGTTTTCCTTCTATGAATTGTCCGCGTCCTTTGCTTATTTTAGTGGATTGGCCTCTTCCTAATTATTTTAACTCTTGTTAAATAATACCTCACTCCTTTGACATGTGTCACAAACGTTTTTCAGTTGCCTTTTAATTTTTTGATACTTTTTTTCTTAAAGAATTTTTAATGTGTACATAACAGATCCATAAATCCCATCCTTTATGATGTCTGTCTTTGATGAGCTTAAGAACAGTCACCCCGTTGCAGGATTGTAGAAGCATTTGCCTTTATTTTATTTGAACTTTTTAATGGTTTCTACTTTTGTGTTTAGAACTGTAATCTTTCTAACAAATGTTTTCTAAGAGGAGTTATTGAATGTTCTTTCTCTGTTAATTTATTGAATATTAAGTAAGCAGTCTATCCCCACAGATAAGTTTCTGAGATTTGAGCCCCGCCTAGTGGTCCATTTGTCCACTCGGGACTCATGGCTGCACAGTGTGATTTGCTGTGGTTCAGTGGAAGTGTCACTACAGGGCAGGCTGTCTCAGGGGAGTCTACCTTTCTGTCTCTGCCCCCCTCTGTCCCCCCTCACACTGCCCCCTCTGTCTTTCCTCTCTGCCCCCCTCTATCCTCCAAGCCCCAGTGACAGAGCTCTTGAGGATGGACCTGGGAAGGGAGAGGGTTGGGGTGAGTTCAGGGTGCCCATAGGGGACACCAGCCCTGTCAAGGAGCCCCAGCCACACCCTCCCATCTGGAAGGCTAGAGCCATGACTTCTTTGGGGTCTGGCCAGCTCCAGATTTCTTCTATAACATGGAAACCACCTGAAAAGTCTGGTCTTTCTCCTCCAAACCTTTGGCTCTTCAGACTAAGTGAAGGTGTCTTGTCCAACAGGGCCCCTGGGGCCGGGTCAGGGGAAACTTTCAGGTGATCACTGTGGCAGCCACTTTATCAAATCAACAAAGCCGCTCCCTCCCATTCAAAGATGCTGCCAAACGTAACTCCCTGTGGGATGAGAAGCATCACGTCTTAGTCATGATGCTAACCCAACTCTTGGCACTCTTAAATGTGCCAAATGCTGTTTTGTAAGCACTTTTGGAATGTCAGCGTTGCATATAAATGTATGTATGAATAGCAAGGATTCACACGCACAGTATTATCCCCTTTATAGGTGAGGAAACTGAGGCACACACAGGTTAAGTAAGTGGCCTAAGACCACACTACTCACAGGAAGCACAGAACTAGTACCTGAATCCAGTGGCACACTTTTGCTGACTGTGCAGCCCTGAAGAGAGAGGGAGGGTGGGCAGGGGGCACAGACCTGGGCCAGGGTTTGACAGGGCAGGAATTGCAGGGAAGTGCCCCCAAGATACATACACACACACGCACACAGGCCCCCTCTGTCCTCCATGGACTCCTCTGATGTCTCCACCCTGCTCTGCAGAGGCTGCTGGTGGCCTCCCCCTCCCTACCCCCGCTCCCTCCACCCAAGGCCCCTCCATCCAGAGTCTTGTCTCTGGCAGCCAGAGACAGGCCCTCAGGTGGCCTGGACCTGTGGGCTCTGGTGGCCCTTCTGTGAACAGGCCTGGTTGGCAGCCAGGGGCCCAGTCCCTTTCGTTCTTGCCAGAGCACTGGAGCCCCTCTTGGGTCCCCTCTCCCTGCCTGCTGGTCCCATCCCAGCACCAGCCCTCAGGCAGGGCGGGTACCCAGGCCAGGGCGGTGTGTGTCTGCTGGTCGGGATGCACTCCGCTAAAGCAGCTGCCCCAGATTGATCTCAGCAGTGTCTGTTCTTGTCCATGTGGAGGTGGTGTTTACTTGTGTCTCTCTGTGTGTGTTTATTTACACAGGCAAATTTTCTCTACAGCCTGCAGGCCAAGTACTTGCAGAATCAGGTACAGGGCCCTAGCTGGAGCTGCCCCGTATCCCGCACTGCACTGTCCAGCGGGGGAGGAATGCCTGGGGTCCCTGTTCTGACCTCCACACAGGGGTCTGTGGGGAGCTGCGTGTCCCCAGCCTGTGTCATCCCTGGGGCCCCCTGACTCAGTGAGGCCAGTTTTCATCTATTTCAGGGCATCGTTTGGCCACAAGTCTTCAGTGGCATCGTGGGCAACTGCGTCAACGGCCTGGCCAACTATGTCCTGGTTTCTGTGCTGGGCCAGGGGGTCAGGTGAGCAGGGGGCTGCAGGGCCTGCTTGGGGGGGTCAAGTGTCGGGGGGTCAGTTGAATAAGGCGTTGCATGGGCTGTGGCAGCCTGGTCTGAAGCCCTGCCTACCCCTGAGGGGGCAGCCAGTCCCATCACAACAAGGACTGTGGAGGCTGGCCACACCATTCAGCCACAGGTGGGTCATGGGGAACTGGGGATGAGCCAGGCCTGTCCCCCACTTGCCTCCAGGGCTGGAGTCGGCCTTTGCTCCAGCCTGGCCTTCCACCCTCTGTCAGGGGCTCCGCATTTGCCAACACCGTCTCCCAGTTCACGCAGGCTGTCTTCCTCCTGTTCTACATCGTACTGAAGAAGCTTCATCTGGAGACATGGGCAGGTGTGGAGGGGGATCCTGCCCAGGGAGGGGGTTGCTGAAGGGCGGGTAGGCCGCCAGCACCAGCCCAGCGCCTTCACTTCGTGGGCAGGGTCCCAGCTGGAGCCTTTGGAGGAACCCTGCCCCGGGCCTGCCCCCACATCCCTCAGGGCCCACCTCTTCCCCACCCCTGTATCTGCACCCTCTCTCCGCCTCTGCACCCCACCCCTAGAGGCTTGGTTTCCCAATCCAGTGTGTCCTGGGGCACAGCCCTGCTGGGGACGGGCCAGGAGCTTCTGTGGATAGAATGCTGGGTGCCAGCAGCAGGCTGCATCCACATTGCTTGGATAAGCTTCAGAACTCCTCGTTAACTCCATTTTTATCTACATGGAGGAAGCTGGTGCCGAGAGAGTTTGTCATTCACCCCAAATCACAGAAGTGGGCTCGAACCTGCTCCCAGGCCTAGGTGCTGAGCTTTTAGCCCCTGAAAGCTGGCTGTGTGGACTGTGTGTCCCTCTCTGGCCTGGGGCCTCCTCCCCCATGGCTGGGCAACCCTGTCTGCCTTGTGAAATCTCCTGGAGCCTTGGTGTCGGGCCACCCTCCCAGCAGCCCTCCGGGGAGATGGGGCAGAGATAAGGACTAAAATTTCATCCGAGGAGACAGAGCCCAGGAAGGGCCAGGATGTCTGCCAGCCTGTGGTGCCCGGGCTCCCACCCAGGGGTGCTGCCTGAGGTGTTAGCCCGTACCCTCCTCCTGTCCCCATCCTGCCTGGTGCCAAGTGCCTAGGCTTGCTGTGTGGAGTCAAAAGCTGTGGGCCCTGGCGGTGGGCGGGCTGGCTGGGCCGCAAGGCGGATGGGGGCTCAGTCAGCTGGCTTCTGCTCCTAGGCTGGTCCTGGGAGTGCCTGCAGGACTGGGGCCCCTTCTTCCGCTTGGCCGTCCCCAGCATGCTGATGCTGTGCATCGAGTGGTGGGCCTACGAGATCGGGAGCTTCCTCGTGGGTACGTGGGACAGCGGGGTGTGGGGTGACCCCTCCCCCAGACAGGTGGTTCACCCACCCAGCTGGGCTCCCTGCCAGACTGAGCTTCCAGCAGGCAGGCCTGGGCCCAGTGCAGCCCAGTCTAGGCCTGGCACGGAGTGGACACCTGGGCATGGTTTTCAGTCAGAGTTGGAATGAGATGAAACTGGTGCAGCCGGAACATCTTATGCTCATCAACGGACTCAGAGTCCAAACAGCCAGGGCTGGAATGGCCCCAAGAGACCTTCCAGTCCACCCCGGACCTCATTTATAGATGAGAAAATTGAGTCCCAAGAGTAAAAGAGGCTGTCCAGAGTCACCCCAACCGGGCTGAGAGCTGAACTCAGGCTTCTTGACGTTGGTCCAGTTTTCTTCCCTCCCTCATCACATGGTGTACACAGGAGAGAGACCCTGACCCTGGCACACCCAGGCAGGGGTCTCCTGGAAGGCTGAAGGCCAAGTGGAAAGGTGGTTTTGGCTGTGTCTGCCCTTGGAAGCCACTGGCCCCTTGGCCCCAAGAGCAGGGGGCACTCTTGTCAGCCCAGGGCTGTTGGCCAGCTGGCTGGACACTCACAGTGCTCCTGCCCCACCTCCGCAGGCCTGCTCAGCGTGCGCGACCTATCTGCCCAAGCGGTCATCTACGAGGTGGCCACCGTCATCTACATGGTGAGGCTTGTGGGGGGTACCTTTTTGTCCTGCCCCCAGCCCAATCCCCTGACAGCCTGGGAGTGTCAGAGGGGGAGGGGGCGGCTGCCCCCCCAGAGGCCATTTCTGTCTCCTGAGGGACCCTCCAGACCCCCTGTATTCCACCAGGCCCAGGCCCTAAGAGCCACACGTGGCCCACAGCTGCTCCGCCGTGGGTGATACAGAACTCTCCATGTTGGAATTGTTTTGAGTTGATTGGCGTCATTTAAAATTGGGAGATTTCACGTCACAATCTGGATTTCTGCATTTTTATTGAAAAATGGGACGTTCCCTTTAGCAGTGGGCCCACGTTTTTGTACACCTCTAGTGGTGAGCCCTGGGGAACAGAGCCCTTTTGGGGGCACTTCCTTGCCTCCACCAGGGAAAGAATTCCCCGCAGTTCCTTCCTCTTCGAGGACACATGGGGTATCCCTTGTCACTTGTGCAGCCTCTGCCAGCCTCCTGGGGTGCATACTCTGTGATCCCAGCTTTAATCGAGGGAGTTGCAAAAACCTACATGTACAAAACTGATTTATAAAGTGATTCTTATGTTGAAAGTGGTGTCAATCTTTTTCTCGCAGGGACCTTTTTATGACAGACTTAGGACTACACTTGCCTCTTTATGTGATGTTTACTCATGAGGTTTTGGCTGTGTGTTGATTTTGGCTGCCTGTGGTGTCTGATGGCTTAGCGAGGGTGGGGCTTTGGCTGGCTTGATTAGGGTACCCCCACCCCACCTGCCAGCCGCTGATCTCATGGCTGGTTACCAGCAGCCAGGAAATACTCTGCTTCTCTCCCTCTTGGCCCGGGGGCTGACCGTACCTTCTTGTCTCTGAGTCCAGATCCCCATGGGGCTCAGCATCGCGGTCTGTGTCCGAGTGGGGACAGCCCTGGGAGCCGCAGACACCGTGCAAGCCAAGCGATCAGCCATCTCAGGCACCCTCTGCACAGGTGGGTGGGGTCAGGCCTCGGCCAGGGGAGGCCCTGAGAGCCACGGCTACCTTCCAAGCCTGTGGTACCTGTTGTGTGGCCCAGAGCAGCAAGCTTGCTGTGCCCCTTCCGGCCGCTTCCCCACTGCTGGGGGTCTGAGCCGGCAGTTTCCATCACGTAGTGTCATGCTAGGAAGGCCCTTCCTCCCCAGGCTCCCAGGCCTCTGGGTCTTCCTGTGAGCTCAGACTCCTGGAGTCCCCGGAAGCATGGGCCTGCTCGTGGCGACCCTCAGAAAGGACCCCTGTGCATCCATCCTGTCTCTGCTTTCTGCAGCTGCCAGGCTCAGATCAGCTCCTCATGGAGAGCGGTGGTTCTCAGGCTTTAGACCTAGGTTGGGGGTAGGGTGGGGGAGCTGGGTGTCAAAACCCGAACCTCCCCCGACCCCTGGCAGTTTCTGACTCAGTCAGTTGGAGATGGGGGTCTGAGAATCTGCTTCACTAGGCAACTGCCGGTCCAGGGACCCCATTTTGAGAACCATGGGAGGAAGGGCATTTTGCATGTTGTCATCACGAGACCGCAGATGAGGGTCTTCGTCCAGGTGGACGTGCGGCTGGGCTGGCTCGGGCTGAGGGGGGGCAGGCTCCTCCCTGGTCTGGGTCGGCCTCACTGCCTTCATCTCTTGCAGTGGGAACCTCGCTGGTTGTGGGCGTCCTATTGAGCCTCCTGAGAAACAAGCTGGGCCACATCTTCACCAACGATGAGTAGGTAGTCGGCTTTCCCGCCTCGTGTCGGGGGCCTCGGCTGCTGCCCATGCACAGACCAGACGCCAACCGAAGGGCAGGGCAGAGCTAACGGGGCTCCTCGGGGGGTTCGGACGTGTCCACACACACAGGGAGACTCAGGAACAGGAACGGCCTGGCCTGGGGCGACCACCTAGGCTTGGAGAGGTGGGGGCAGGGCGGAATAGATGGGACAGGAGTGGGACTCCAAGGCCAAGGTTGTGTCTCATGGCCCCCTGTCCCTGCAGGGAAGTCGTTGACCTGGTCAACAAGGTCCTGCCGCTGTACATCTTCTTCCAGCTGTTTGATGCCCTCTGTGTGAGTCCGGATCTGACCCCCGTGTTCCCAACCCCTGGCCCCCAAGCAGCTCAGGGCTGTGAGCTTGAGCTGCCTGATTAGTGCTGACTGCAGAGTAAGCGGCAGCTCTTGGATCTATTATTATTCAAAATAACGCCTCCCCCCTTTCTCTCCTGCAGTTCCAGCTCACTGAGAAGTGTGCACATTAGCAAAATACTGACCACTTTTCCAGTGCAGAATCATAAACCCTCTTGTTCCTTGTTCCCCAGGATTGGGTGGGGGGGCAGCGGGGCACAGCTCTGACTCAGGCCCCACCCGGCCAGGAGCGGCCACACTGGTTTCCAGAATAGAGGCGCCCAGAGTACAGAGGGGCCCAACTTTCCACTTAGATCACTAAAGAGCAAGTCTCATTGAGTGCAAGTCTGAATTCTGTGAATGTTTAACAGCCTGGCATAGAGACAGCGAGCACCAGAGTCTCATTTGTTGAGCAGGATTTGAAGCTCTGGGTCGTTGTCTTCACACCTTGGGCAATCTTGCAGGAAGCTCCAAGTCTCTGCCTGGAGCATGTGCTTTGAGAGCAGCAAGGGGCAGGAGGCAAACACCCTTATAGGAGTCATCAGCTCTTATAGAAAAAGTGGTTCCTATAGGAAGGAAAGAAAGAACCGTTGGGAGAAAGTATATTCGTGGAGAGTTTTCCTCAAAGCCCTGGCACTGTGGCTGGTTCTCCATACATTTCCAGGGCTGGTCTTCAAATCTAGTTGGGCACAGGCTTGGAGCACATTATTGACCTCATCAGGACCGCTTGCTTTGGGCCGGGTTTTGTCATCAGATTCACAGCTTTTATTGCAAAATATTAAAAGAAATCCTCTTCTGGGCTCTGTTACGGCTTCTGCAAGGACACTATAATTACTTTTTCTCTAGCTCCAAGGTGAAGCCACAGCTGAGAAACTCCTCCTGCAGGGTCAGGCCTCAGAGGGCTCTGCATTCCTAAATGCTCCTAAGGCAGCACCTTTCTGTTCACTGCCCACCAGGGAACCCGCAGCAGATTCACAGCTCACGACTGCCAGGGGTCTTGCAGCATGCATCGCTGCATCTACTATGTTTACTCCTGGTTATATCTATCTATTTTTTTTCTCATTAAAAAATTTATTTTTTGGGTGCACCATGTGGTATGTGGGATCTTCTTTCTCTGACCAGAGATTGAACTGGTGCTACCTGCAGTAGAAGCTCCATTGCATTGCCAGAGAACTGAATCGCCAAACCACTGGATTACCAGAGAACTCCCTAGATGTGTGTTATTCTTTTTTTTTTTTGTAAATAATTTTATTTATTTATTTTTGGCTGTGCTGGGCCTTCATTACTTGCTCAGGTTTTTCTCTAGTTGTGGGAATGGGGGCTACTCTCTAGTGGCCGTGCTCAGGCTTCTCTTGTTGTGGAGCACGGACTCTTGGGTGCAGGGGCTCAGTCGTTGTGGCTCCCAGACTCTAGGGTGCGAGGGCTCAATAGTGTGGCACATGGGCTTAGTTGCTGTGAAGCATGTGGGACCATCCCAGACAGCAGATCAAACCTGTGATTCCATTGACAGGTGGATTCTTTACCACTGAGCCACCAGGGAAGCCCTATATTATTCTTAATTTAAGTTTTCCATGGACCTAGTTTTTATTTTATATTTTTTATGCCTTTCTTGAGTTATAGTTTACATACCATAAATTCATGCGTTTTACATGCGTAAGTCAAACCTTTGAGTAAGTGTCTACTTGTGGAACCAGTGCTGCAATCCAGTGTTTTCATCACCCCCACAGAATTCCTGGGGCCTGCTTTGAAGTCACTGCCTACTCCCACGGGCAGCCCCAGTCAATGCACTGACCCACTTTCTGTCTGTGCGTACTTGCCTTTTCTGATTATTTTATAGACGTGGAATTACAGAGTATGTGGTCTTTTGTGCCTGGTTTTGTTCACTTCTTGAAATGTTTGAGGTTCTTCCATGACATAGCATTTTTCAGGACTTCATTCCTTTTTGTGGCTGAATGATAGTCCACTCTGTGGCTGTAACATGTTTGTCTACCCATTCATCAGGTGATGGACATTTGGGTTGTTTTGAGTGTGGCCTGCTGTGACTAAGGCTGCTGGGAACATTCAAGTATGAGTCATTGTGTGGACGTATGTTTTCCTGCCTCTTAGTAGAGTCTTAAGGAGTTGAATTGTTAGGTTAAAGCATAAGTTTATGTTTAACTTTGTAAGAAACCATTAAGCTGTTTTCCAAAACAACTGTATCATTTTACATTCCCACCAGCAATGTACCAGGATTCCAGTTCCTCCCCTGTGTTGCTAATTCTTGGTATTGTTTGTCTTGAAATTGGAAAAAGTAGATTTTACTTTTAAGAGCAGTTTTAGGTTTACAGAAAAATTGAGCAAATACAGAGTTCCCATAAGCACCCCCCCCCCTCCGCTGGTTCCCCCTTTTATTTACATCATGTATTATTACAGAACATTTGTTTACTTGATGAAGAATATTGATACATTAAGTCCACAGTTCATGGTTGGTATGCATTCTGTTGGTTTTGACAAACGTTTAAGGACATGTACACAACATTGTAGAATCATACAGGATACACACTACTATATATGAAACAGGTGAACAACAAGGTCCTACTGTATAGCACAGGGAACTATATTCAGTATCCTGTAATAAACCATAATAGAAAAGAATATGAAAAAGAATATATGTATAACTGATTACAGCAGAAACTAACTTTTTTATATTATTTCTCATTTTTATTAGAGTCATCCTCATGGGTCTGTACAGGTATCTCGGTGTAGTTTTAATGTACATTTCTTCTTTTTTTTTTTCTGGGCCATGCCACACGGCATGTGGAATCTTAGTTCCCCAACCAGGGATCAAACCGAGGCCCCCTGCAGTGCGGGCACAGAGCCCTAACCACTGGACCACCCTGGAGTCCCTGATGTGTGTTTCCTGAATGACTAACGCCGAGCCCCTTCCATCTGCATGTCTCCTCGGGTGAAGTGTCTGCTTGTGTCTTTGTTCAATGCAGACATCAGGTTCTTGTCTGAGCCTGCCAGGGCTGCCCTGACAAAGCATGCAAAGCCGAGTGACCTAACATACCAGAAATGGATTGTCTCGCGGTTCTGGAGACCAGAGGTCCTAGATCCAAGGCACCAGGGGAGGATCTACTCCAGGCTCTGCTGAGCTTCTGGAACCCTCAGGAGCCCCTGAGCATGTAGAAGGCATCGTTTGCCCATGTCTGTTCACGTTGTCTTCCCTCTCTGCATGTCTGTGTTCTAGTTTCTCCTTTTTACAAGGACACCCGTTTTCTCGGGGTAGGGTACACCCTGATGACCTCATCTCAGCTTGGTCTTCTGCAGAGATGCCATTTCCAATTAAAGTCATATTCAGAGGTCCTGGGATCAGGACTTCAGCATCTTTGATGGGGGGGTACAAGTAAACCCATTGTAATTACCTTTTTATTACTGAGTTGTAAAAGTTCTTTTTTTCATTGTAGAATAGTTGATTTATAATGTGTTAATTTCTACTGTATAGCAAAGTGATTCAGTTATACATGTATGTATTGTTGTTCAATTGCTAATTCATGTCTGACTCTTTTCTACTGCATGGATGGCAGCCAGGCCTCCCTGCCCTTCACTATCTCCTGGAATTTGCCCAAGTTCATGTGCATTGAGTTGGTGTACATTGTTAAAAATACTCTTTTCCATAGTGGTTTATCATAGCATATTGAGTGCAGTTCCCTGTGCTCTATGCTTGGACCTTGTTTGTCCGTCCTATATGTAATAGTTTGCATCTGCTTACCCCACACTCCCAGTCCACCTCTCCCCCTGTATCTGAAACACAGCAGCCTTGTGTGACCCAGGGCAGGTCCCTCCAGGAAGGAAGGGGGACGAGGGCCCCTCCTAGCCCGTGTTGTGGACTTAAATGAGGCCATGGCCCGTAGATTCCTGGGGAAGCCCTGCTGCTAAGACTCACCATCGCCTCAGCATCACCAACCCCCAGCCCTTCCGCCTCCTGCAGTGTCTCTACGCTGGGGTCCTGCGTGGGACCGGCAGGCAGGCCTTCGGGGCTGTGGTGAATGCCGTCATGTACTACGCCATCGGCCTCCCGCTGGGTGTCGTGCTGACCTTCCTGGTCGGGATGGGGATCATGGGTACGTGGTGTGGGGGGAGGGGGGCAGGCCTAGTGCTCGTCAATGCCCTCACTCACCCCCGTGTCCTGCAGGCCTCTGGCTGGGCATGCTGGTCTGTGTCATGCTGGCCACCGCTGCCTTCGTCACTTACACGGCCCGGATGGACTGGAAGCGAGCTGCGGAGGAGGTGAGTGCCCTTCCTGTTACCAAAGAAACCAGGCCAGACACCATCTTCAGCGCCACCCCCCGCTCCCGCCCCTGCTTAAACTCAAGCAGAGGGCTCCCGATGACCCTGAGGGCGAGCTGTGACCTTGGAAAAGGTACCGACAGCACCCTGTCTGCCAACCTCTTGGGAGCACTTCTGAAACATGCGGCCTGGCGTTTGCTACTATGGCTCAGACTCTGAAACCCAGAGGGTGTGGGTTCACCCTCTGTGAACCCACAGAGCTTCACACCCTCTGTGGGGATCCAGTCCTCCTGGCATCTGAGACAATGGATCAACCCAGATCTAAAAGAGCGCCTCTTAAAATTCCCCAGACCGTGGACATGGCAGGCCTGGCCTTACCGCATTTCACAGGTGTTGCAGTTTTTGCAGGGTGAGGGTCTGGTGCCACCCCACATTGAGCAAGGCGATCGGCAGGCACCATCTTCCCAACAGCATTTGTTCGCTTTGTGTCTCTAGGTCACACTTTGCTCATAATTCTCATCATATTTCAAATCTTCTCATTGTTATCATCTCATTTATGGTGAGGGGTGATCACTGAACTCTGACATCACCATCGCGAAAATATGACCTGCTTAAGGCTTAGGTGATGGTATTTTCCAGCCAGGAAGCACTGTTTAACTGCTGTATGGACAAGGTGTCTCGCACACTTAGCAGACTCATGTTGTGCAAACATTACTTTTATGTGCACCAGTAACCCAGAAAAGTCCTCTGCCTGCGTTACTCACCTTATTGCAGTGGTCTGGAGCCCCCAAGATGTGCCCGTGTGTGACCATGTGTATCCTGCTCAGCCTGCAGGGCTCAGCTGAGGCTGGGTGGATGGGCAGCTGGCAGGCTGACCTGGAGACTCTCTGTTCTTCAGGCACAGAAACGCGCGGGACTGCCGCCACTGGGGAGCAGTGGGAGCATGGCTCTCGGACCCAGGCCCGGGCCTGAGAAAGCGGTTGTGTCTTCAGGTAACACTGCCCTGTGTGCTTGGGTGGCCAGGAACCGCAAGCGCCCAGGCTGCCTCTCTTCCTCAATGTGACAGTGATATCTGTTCTGACACTAGGAGGGGCACTGATGTCCTGGGAAGCAGGCCCTGTCTGTCCTGGCCTGGGAGGCTGTGACCCTTGGTCCTGTCATAAGATGAGGGTGTGAGTTGGGCGCTTAGATCTCCTCCTTGTCATCCTGCAGCTAGCTGCTAAACTAGAGGACGAGGTCTGAGTACCAGCCATCTGACCTCAGGGTGCATTGTCAGCACCTAGCTCCAGTGTGGGCAGGAGGACTGAGGCCGAGGGTTAGGCAGGTCAGCCTGACTTGATAACCAGTGTGGGTGGCCCTTTCTACCCACCCCTCCGCACCCCATTAGACCGGAGCTCTGCTGCCCTGCGCTGGCCTGAGCCCAGGGCTGTGTGTCCACAACCCACAGCCTGGTTATCTCTGCAGCCTTAGCTCACTCATCCTGAGCTGTGCCTTGATTGGGGTGGGCATGGGGAGCCGGCACAGGCTTTGGGGGCTTCAGTGTTGCAAGGGAGCGGGGGAGGCAGCGTGACTGAGCATGTCACATGCTGAGATCGCTGGTGGAGGTTACACACCTCCAGGCCGTCTGACCCTGTCTGATCTCAGCCTTGTCCGCGCATCAGGTCCACAGGATGCTGTCCCACGTGTTTCCTGCTGTGAGGCAGGGGTGTCAATCTTTTGGCTCCACAGCCCTCCACCTAGGGCTGAGCTGGCTTCTGCTTGTCTTGCAGTGGCCACAGGCAGCTCCCCTGGCGTGATCCTGACGACCTACTCAAGACTCGGGGGCCACCTGGACCTCCTCAGGACTCCGGAAGCAATCCAAACCCTACCCGCCCCCGCCAACCGACTGTCAGCCAAGCAGCTGGCTGTCCGCCGGGGGGCTGCTCTGGGGGTAGCAGTGGGCTCGTTGATAGTGGGGCTCGTCCTGAGGGTCCTCACTGCCAGGCCCTAGCGAGACAGCTTGAGACAAAAAGGAAGCTGAGAGCGGCTGCCGACCCCAAATTCAGTGCAGGGGGATGCCCCGAACCAGTCCTCAAGAACATTCACGGGACTTTCCTGGTGATCCAGTGGTTGAGAATCTGCCCATCCACCGAGCAGGTTTCCCCCTCCTCCCCCCCCCAACCCCACCCCCCACCAACCCCCACCAGTTGGGGAGCTGGGATCCCACGTGCTATGCAGTGTGGCCAGAAAATAAACAGATTTTGAGCCAGTGCTGTGTGTCACATGGCGGGTCTGAGCGGCAGTTAAATTGCCTCCTCTCACCTGGACTGCTCTTGATAACAGCTCAGCCGACTGGAAGATGAGACTCCTGGGGTTGGTCCCCTTATTCAATAAACGGCTTCAGGTTAGAGATTTCAAATCAAAACGAAATAGAAAATGCCACTGTCACATGAAAAAGTAGGCAGAGTCTGCCGCCGAGGTCTGTTTACAAAGCCTTTGTGAAGTTCTGGAAGCAGGGGTCAGCGGGCCCTGCCCACGCAGTCCACCTTGCTGAGAACCCCGTCTGCTCCTGCTCTGGCACCTGCTGAAGGTCCAGGAGCTGTGAGGCCCCAGCCGGGTTGGTCACCTTTCCCCCAGTCCTCTCAGGGCATGAGCATTTTCGCTTGAGAAATGCCTCTCACAGTAGTGAAAGGCTATAACTAAGAGCAGTCAGTAGAGTCTGCCTACAATGCAGGAGGCCTGGGTTCGATCCCTGAGTTGGAAAGATCTCCTGGAGAAGGAAATGGCAACCCACTCCAGTATTCGTCTAGAGCATTCCATGGACAGAGGAGACTGGTGGGTTACAGTCCCTGGGGTAGCAGAGAGTCAGATATGACTAACACTTCGACAGGCAGTGAAACCCAGATCACTGGGCCAGGGAGGCTCAGGACAGAATGGAGGGCTAACCCAGTCCTAGGGTGCTTTGAGGCCTGGGACTGGGGACATGTTCGGGCTCCAGGCTGCACTTGGGGCCCTGTGGGCTCAGCCTGGCCTTCAACATCAGTCCCTTTAATGTGGGTAGTTACATCCAGACAATGGATTCACTAATCAAGGTCACTAGGGGAAAAGGATGCAGAGTGCAAACACTTGACTCCATAGGAAGGTAGGAGCCAGTGGCATCTGTGACCTGAAGACTCTGTGAGCTTCCGCACCCAGACAGAACGAAGCAGGTATGGAACAGAAAGGCCATGTTGTATCCTAGGGTTGCCTAAGTGAAAGTAAGGTGTTAAGTTGCTAAGTGTCTGACTCTCTGTGACCCCATGGACCAAAGCCTGCCAGGCTCCTCTGTCCATGGGATTTTCCAGGCAAGAATACTGGAGTGGGTTGCCATACCCTCCTCCAGGGGATCTTCATGACCTAGGGATCAAACTGGGGTCTCCTGCATTGCAGGCAGATTTCTTTACCACCTGAGCCATCAGATTGCAAGGCACTGAGGAAAAAGGACTGCAAGCGCAAGTCTGGGAAACAGTGCATCTGCACAAACCCCTGCTAGACAGAACTGACGGCAGAGCCAGTTTTGTGTAAAGGCCTATGGGATTGGTGTCTGGTGAATGTGCTTACAGAAATATACTTGTTTTAGGTCAGCAATGGGGTAAAGATATAGTTAGAAAGAAACCTATTTACTATATATAGATGGTTTTTAAAAACAACCCACAAGTGGCAAAGTAAAACTTGAGAAAATCTAGGCTGAGAAATTAAAATGAGAAAGTGGATCAACACTCTTTGAAAAAGGCAAAAAATGGATTTCTAGTTGGAGAAAACTTATGTTTAAAGGATTGTCTTCATCAGGGCATATCTGAAAACTAATGACATTATTAAAATTCATGCCAATTTCATCAAATGTATCTATTTTGAAGCAGAATATACCAGTAGACAAGCAAATTATTTTAATTAGAAAATAAAATGCACAATATACCAAATGAAAATTCCATATTGAAATTTTCTCTGAGATATTTTACGGCTGATTATTCTGATAAAGCTCCAGTGTTAAGCAGGTGTCCCCTAAGCCAGCCTAGTGATTGGTTGTTGACCCCCGTGTTCTGTGATGAAGCCGGTATCTCTGCAATCAGCCACAAGGAGCAGGTTCATTCAGTGGTGGATCACATGTGCTGTGAAGTGAGGTACCTTCTCTCATTGATTGTGGGGGCGGGGAGGACCCTCCAGGGCTCTTCTTGAGACCTGTTTGGCTGAACTGCTGGGTCTGGTCCCAGCACTGTGCACAAAAGGTCCCCCTCAGTGGGCCAGCTGCTGTCCTGGTCATGGAGAGCCCTCTTCCAGATGCCCCTCACCAGTCCCTGGGGCTCACAGGCTATAAGTTGTGAACACCGAAGGCCTCTTGTCCAGGACAGAAACTGGTCCCCACATTAAGTTCTGGACAGAATCTGTTCAGCAATGCCCCTCTCAGGTTTCCGAAAGTGAAAGTCGCTCAGTTGTGTCCGACTCTTTGAGACCCCATGGACTATATAGTCCATGGAATTCTACAGGCCAGAATACTGGAGTGAGTAGCCATTCCCTTCTCCAGGGGATCTTCCCAACCCAGGTCTCCCACATTGCAGGCAGATTCTTTACCAGCTGAGCTACAGGGAAGCCAAAGGGATGCTTACTCGCCTTGTGGTACAGAAACAGGAAACTTGAAGATTCGTCCCTAAAGAGCCACTGACTTGCCATGTGCAGCCTCTGCTCAAGGGTGGGTATTGTCTGAGTACCATGACGATAGCAGTGAAACAGGCCAGTGGCTTTGTAAGACGCACACAGTCTATGAATGACATGATTCTTGCACCAAACTGGCAGATGCCTTCCAGTAGCCCAAGGATTTACCATGTGTGGACGTCACAACAGACCGTCACAAGCCGAGCACAAGACAGCGGTGAGAAAGGAGGGCTGCTTCCTGGAGCTCAGTCTTCAAATCCCAAGATCAGGGACAGGGACCCCCCCAACCCCAGTTCTAGTGCCCTGAACCCCGAGGAGTCTGGGAGATCATGCCTCACCTCTCTGGACTGAGACCTGGAAACATGCACAGGGCAGTCTCCAGGAGGCTTCAGGGGGTGCTGCCTGAGGGGGGCGGTGGCAAGCCCCATGTGCCTGATAAACAGGAGTCACTGAGCAGGTCTGGGAATGTGGGCTCACCCAGTGCGCTCCCTCCCCCACCCAGAGCTCTAGGGACGTAGGTTCTCCGAGTGAGCATGCTCAGTCCTGGGGGGCTGGGGGAAAGGTAAGTGGGGGACTTTGGCTGAAGCGGTGAGTTTTATTAATGGTGAATGGTGAGGACGGTGGGTTTGCCTATCTTCCTAAAAGTTCCAGTACGATTTAAAAATGATTGGTTGGTTAGCCACTGAGCAGAAGAATAATTCAGCAGAGACGATGAGGAGGTAGCCAGGGTCCATCAGTAGTATCCGGCCTGCGGTGGGGAGAAAGGATCCAGGTTACTGCCAGTTTACAACCCCTTAGCCCTGCAACACCGGCCCAGGGTCAGAACCCCAACCAGCACCTCCCATCCTGGAAGCCTCTCCTGCAGTGACAGCAGGGCCCACAGGTGTCTAAGGATGAGAGGTCATGCTCTCCTCCCCAAAACAACGACAGGATGGTGGTATTGGAGGTGGTACTCTGTCCAACATGGAGGAGACACGACAACGAGCAAAGACCTAAGTTTTAAGAAGGAAGCGCACTGTCCACGTGAACTCTGAAAACTGGTGAGCGATTCTGCTTCTTGAATTCCAGAGAGTAATTAATCCCATCAACCCCCACTGAGGCTTAAAGAAGCACAGCCACAAAGTTCAAAGATGGATTTAATCCTCAAGGTCCTGATGACATCGATCGATTTTAACCTTTTATTTTCCTCAGCTTTTAAAAACCCCTGCAATGCTTTCTGTAGCTTAGGCTAAACTTTACTGGAAACCTGTGTAAAAAGGATGTGGAAAATGCCCCCACCCTGAGATACTAACATACTCCCCTTAGACTGATAACTGCGGCTTTCAGTTTCCCATTTTAAAATGCTCCAAATGCATTCTAATGCTAGTAAACTGAATTATTAAAATCAGAGCTACGAAGTACAAAAAAGCAATGTCAGAAAAATGTTTGCAGTGACCACCAACAAAGATTCCTCAAGAAAATGGCCAATTTAGGCACAGAATCCTTTGTTGAAAGTAAAAGGTGATTTTATAAAGAGGGTATAAGCGTAGAGAAGCAGCAAAGAGAGAAGAGCCCCCAAATCTTTACCCAGTCTCACACTGGATCCAAAACAATTGGAACACCTCAGTTCCCAGCAAGGACAGCGAGAGACGGGGCTGCCTGCACCCTGCCAGCTCAGAAGAGGCCTCGCCCGAAGCCGTAATTAAATCAAGCTCAAGGCCCAGCTAAATATACATTTTTACAACACTGATGCATCTCTAGAGCCTACCAGACAAAGGCTTGCCTGCCAAACCCTTTTGCAAACTTTGCGGGGCTGCCAGCCCATCTAGGAGGGGGCAGGCCTGTGGGGATCAGTCTGCCTGCACCTCTGGATTCTCCACCAGGCTGAGCGACTTCACCACAGCCAAGAGGTACTGGTCAGGCTGGGGACCCACGACTTGGGAGAGGACAGGCAGACAGGGACCAGAGACCAAACAGTGCCGCTGGCCACAGCAAGATGCAGAAGAACAGCACTGCAGCCCATAGCAAGCTCTGATTCACCAGGTCTGCTATGTGAGTGCTGAAGTTAAACTTTAAGGAAAGAAAAACAATTCAAAAACGAAACAAAAAGTGACTTTGAGTTTTTTATGAGATGCTGCTCAGACTCTGAAGTTAGGTCCGAGTGGCTCCACGGGCACATCCTTGGGGCAGCTGAGTGCATGTGGCTGTGGTTTTCTGGGAGTGATGGTTGCTCCATCTTGACCCTCTAATCTAGAGTCCAGTCCTGGACTACACCATGGCTCAGTCAGGTTTAACACTCTGCTGCTCCAGGCTAAAGTCCAAAGTGCCTGGAGACAAATAAATTACACATTCTTTTTCTGGTAACACCTGAGCCTGAGTGTAGAAAAACACATGACCAGAAGAGCGCACACCCCACGCTGGCCTGAGTTACAGAAAGGAAGAAACGGCCCTACCTCCTCTCAACAGAGTGGGTTCTGAGACCGGCTCACAGGATGGCACATTTGTGAACTGCCTGAAAAAGCAACAGGGCCTTTGTCCTCAGCACAGCCTGGTATCTCTGAGGAAACCCAAATGAATTCAGATGCGGCTGGTGTCTTCAGCTCCACCAACACCTTCTGAACACTTAAACCAAACACAGACATGAATGCAGCTGTTTCCGTTAAATCTGGTTTTGCCCCGGGAAGCTGCCTGGCACTGGCTCTCCTAGCACATCCACGTCTGTGATGACCAATCACCAGAGACACACGCTGCGGTCAGCCTCATGGCCAAGCCACCTCCACCAGCAGCCCATCACCAGAGGACTGTCCTCCACCTCTATGCGCTGGGTCCATGCACGTCCAGGAACCAGCTGGCCCCGAGGCACCAACAGCGAGAGGATCAAGGGTTAGGAAAGTCGACTTCTGCAAGTGAGCTCTCCAGGGCCTTAACCTCAGACCAGAGGCAGCACATGGCTCCTGTGAGGAGAGGCCTGTGGACTGGACAGTCTCTGTTGCTGGAGCCCAGAAGCAGCTAGAGATGCTCAGATGCTAGAGAATCAGCGGCTGCCCGCAGGCCATAGCTCCCTGGCCCTTTGTTTTAGACTGAATGTTAACAGCATGAGACAGCACTGATTTAATAAGGTTGGAGGTGCTCCCAAGACAGAGCCACCCAGGCAGCCACTGGGGACCCACCTTGATGAGCACGGCGGCCAGGACGCCCAGGAAAGTGAGCAGCAGGAGGCCGAGTCTCCCTTTGTTGAAGCGCTTCAGCAAGAAAAATTTCGCCCAGTCCACCTTCGACTGGCTGTTGGGAGGGTACCGGAGCTGGTTCACGCCTTCCCGCTTGAGACTTTTTAGTAAACAGGGACGGTGATGGGAAAAAGTATCGAAACTGTGTTTTCCGTGATACGCTCCCATCCCGCTGGACCCTGAAAGTCAAGGGCAGATGAGACAGGCCACTGTAGGTAACGGTGCTCCTCCTGTGCAGGGGCAGACCCCCTGCCCACCAGCCTGGCGGGCAGGGGGCCTTGTTCCAGGAGGTCCTGGGCTCCCTGCCCATCGGCATGGGGGGAGTGCCTTGTTCCAGGTCCTCCCACTGGCCCCCGCACAGTGGACCTGGCCCAGGACATGCTCCGGGTGCTCCTGGGACAGGCTCACTCTACCATAGCCCCACTTCTAAGAGGGAACGGGGCAGGTAGGGCCTTAGTGTGGCCCTGAGGGTCTGACTCTGGGAGTCCCGGGCTGAGCTGCACTTCCTCCAGGCTCTTGGGAGGTCATGTGGTGGTGCTAACAAGCTGGTGGACACCTCTGCCCTCTCAGAGCTGTGCTCTGGGCCTGTGCTCATTGGTCTGCTTGGTCACATAAGCCGGGCAGACACGCATGTGGCTAGGTTAACCAGGACACAGGGCATGATTTGTGTGAAGCTGAAGCTGTAGGGGGATTCTGTGAAATGTATCAAAAGGTGTGCCTCTTAAAGAAAAAGTCTAAATTACAAAATATTAAGTGTGTATGTCTGGGAGGTCACTGCATTTCCCCTCACAACTTTCCATAGTATTCTGTTTTTGTGCCTTTTCCCTAAAAATGCAAATGGACATCCTGGTCCTTGGCTGCTGTCTGCCCTGCCCATGGCCCCATCCGTCGCCTGCCCAGGGCCTGTCCCTCACCACCTCTTTCATAAAGGACAGAGAGCAAGCCTCAGTTCATCTGAGACCTGATTCTCAGCCCAAGACATGCCCTGCATCTCGTGAAGAACTGCAAACTAGGGAAGCAGCAAACTGTAAACCATTGCAGACTGGAAGTGCCCCCGAGGGTGGAGGGTGGGGACGGGCCAGAAGGGGACTCTGGGCAGCGACTGGGAGGGGCCTCACCGACGCCTCCGAAGGGCAGAGAGCTGAGCATGAAGTGCATGACGACATCATTGCCCATGACACCGCCGCTGGATGTCCAGTCGATCATCCGCTTGATGAGCTGAGGGGAAGAGCAGAGGCCCCAGGTCAGCGGTGGCTGGCCCAGGACACATGTCCTCCTTGAGGTCAGACCTCACGAGCGAGCACAGTACAGGTCAGCTCTCAGCTGCACATCAAGTCCTCCGGGGAAGCAACACAGAGGGGGTTGAACACCCGTCAAACTAGTGCTGGACCCCTGAGCCCACAGCCAGGGCCTCTCATCAGGGACCATTCAGGCTCTATTCTGGGTCTTAAGAATTGTTAATGTTTCTCCTTCTCTCTGGTCTACTTTACAGCCTGTGATTTACAGATATTTCATTTCTATGAGATGCAAAAGACATTCAAATGTCCTACTTTTGAAGGAGATCGCTGGTTGGCTCACCCGGGATCCAAATGGGCAGTGACACTTGACTGGTAAATGCTACCTCCCTGGTGCCGACCAGCCGAGTCCTCCGTACCGAAGGTCATCACTGACCATGGGACAAAGCCTGACCTGCCACCCTCCGCCCAGGCCACAGACCTCAGCTTCTGCTCTGTCCTCCACTGCCTGTGATCATTTCAGCTGTAGACTGTTATGTGCTGCTAACCCGACCCTCGCTGAGCCCTGCACGCTCAGTCTCCCTGGATCGTGGACAGAGATCAGCCCCTCAACAGCTTGGCCAGCTCTGGAAGTGGCCCCATGACCACCTGCACGGCCAGGCAGAGGCTCCACAGGGGACACCTGCTCTGGGAACTCCTCAGCCTGGCCTGGCTGCACATTCTCCTCCGA